TCTCCAGCATTGTACTTCCAGGAACAACGCAGGTGCGACAACGTGAGATCTCCTTACTTCACTTGATTAAGTTTCAGTTACTGAAACTTCTTTTTTGTATGCCAGAGAAGTTTAAAGAAGTGTTGTTGCATGAGGACAATCAGACAAACCTGAAAAATTGTTATTTCTATAAAGAAATCATTCCAAGGATATGGATGTTCTTTGTCCAGGAAGGGACCATCTGTGGTTACAACAAATTACTGATGGGTTTAACAAACACCAGCCTGGGAAGAGGAGGAGTTAGGAGATGAATGCCTCTCAGTCCTTCCTCCAGGAGGTACCACCGGAAAGAAATTTCCAGTCTGGCTGGGGAAGCCTGGATTTCTTTGGATTCTGGCAACTTTTATGTTCTGTACTTCCTTTTAATAAATGGGTACTGTTAAAGAACTGAGAGTTTCTTCTCACAGCTGTCAAGTGCAGGGATTTTTCTCTATTCTGTTTAATCCTATATGTCCAGTGTCTAAAAGAGTGCCAGGCAATAAACATTTGAGGAAACAGGTGAATTGTGAAGGTGATACTTACAAGAAACATTTCTTCAGATTGATGGTCGAGATGCATTTTCCCAGGCACTTAGTTAACAAATTCTTAGAAATATAGTTAATGTGGCATAATTTCTTTGGTTTCCTTTTTCCCCCTAGGCTTAGGGATACTTAAATGCTTTTGCTAAGAACTCATGTGTGTGAAACAGAGCCTTCTATCACAGTCTTTGCCTTTTTTCTTAATAAACAGCAAATAATCCCTTGGAAACATCTGCCCTTTATGGGTAATTGGAGAGATGTTTACTTTGGTGAGAGGATGAGAAAGATGAGAACTTTTAACTTTTATTAAATTGGTAAGTGAAGATAAAAAGGGAAAAGAATCATAAACTGGAGATGAATATTCTGACAAGCTTTCAAAAAACGAAAAACCAGGATATACAGTCCCCAAACTTTGTAGGTTCCAGCTCTTTTCGGAAAAATTTTTTAGGTCAAAACAGAGGAAATTGCTAAAAGAATTCACGAGGCTCTCTTAGATATCAAATAGCATTTTAAAACTACCTTATTAAGTGAAAAGAGATGATAATCATGATTGAATGTCCTTTGAAGCCCAAGATTAGGAGACAAATTTTAGGAAGACCACAGTTTGCATTCTGTTGAAAACTAAACATTTGAAAATAGTTCTAAATGGTTGAATACATAGCTCCGCCATTGATATGGCTCCTTAACATACATATATTGTTTTGCAAAACAACACAGCAGTTACTGCAGATTTTTTAAATTAAAAGGGGAGGAGAGGGGTGCCTGGGTGGCTCAGTTGGTTAAGCAACTGCCTTTACCTCAGGTCGTGATCCTGGAGTCCCGGGGATCGAGTCCCACATCGGGATCCCTGCTCTTCGGGGAGTCTGCTCTCCCTCTGACCTCTCCACTCTCACACATACTCTCTCTCAAATAAATAAACAAAATTTAAAAATAAAATAAAATAAAATAAAATAAAATAAAAGGGGAGGAGTCTCCACATTCAACAATAATTTAGGTTTCTAGGTTTTTCCTATAAAAGTACCAAAGCTGCTTTTAGGGTGGGACTCAGGGGGTTGTGGAGGTGATATAAAAATTGACTTAAGTGATTTATCTGCCTATTTCAATAAATATATATTAGATATAGTTCTTTAACTTTATAACTACTCAGAAATATGTGCTTCCTTAAAAAAATTTTTTGTTGTTGTTTTAACGAGACAGGAAGGTAAAATGTCAGATTGTCTGTTTAATACCGGACACCCGGTAAACCTATTATAAGAACTTTTATATGAACTTTGCCAGTTCTTATAATTCTTTCACTGGAAACTGTGAATTTGTTCTGTGCCGCCTTAGTCGGGGGCAGGGGGAAGGGATGGGAGATCCCCACCACATTGGTCCCAATCAGGGGCCTATGTTTCCACAGTTGAGGAAAAGCAAGGCCACCAAAGCCAAAAGACCCCAGAAACACTGACAAACTTGACAGCAAGTTGCAGAAGCTAGGCCCTAATTCTGAGGGTCAGTATTCCAAAGGCAGAACCAGGTCCAAATGGACTGCTGTCAAACCGGCACGTGTTAAACTCACCAAGGAGCAGACAGAGCACAGATCAGGAAGAACTCCAGAGCTGAGCTGCGTGTGATTGGCCCTCTCCCTCTTATGGTCAGTCTCCGAGGCCACAATGGCCCATCCCTCGGCTCTAAAAGCATTGGTGATGTATGGACACGTTTGAGATTCCTTATGCACTGTGTTAGGATCCCATTTAAGAACAGTGATTTGATGACATGGGACCCACCACGCTCGGAGAGCAGTCCAGGCAGGATGGAAGCAGCGGGGTGTCCCTTAAGGAGGACGGGAGCATGGGTCCTGTCCTAGGGAGATGGGCAGGGCCTGGCTTCAAGAAGTGTATCCAAAACAGGTCACCAAATCTAGGAAGGGCTAAGGTGAGTCTGGCTCGTTTGCTGAGGGGCTGAGAAAACAGGAGGTCGATGAAACAGGAGACAAGAGTATGGAGTAGCAGGCTAAATGGGTGAAATAGGAAGAGGCCTTGGTGAATTCTGGAGATTGGGCCAGACCTGATACAAGGAGGTGAAGAAGATCGTACTGACAAGATTACCTATGAGGGACAAAATTAGTTGCTGTTCGGTGACTCTTGGGGTGGGAATAAGAATCCCAGAGAGTGGGCTTCCATACCAACTGGTGGTTACTAACTTGCCTTCAAAAAGGGGTGCGGGGGGGCGCCTGGGTGGCTCAGTGGGTTAAAGCCTCTGCCTCCAGCTAAGGTCATGGTCCCAGGGTCCTGGGATCGAGCCCCGCATCAGGCTCTCTGCTCAGCGGGGAGCCTGCTTCCTCCTCTCTCTCTCTGCCTGTCTCTCTGCCTACTTGTGATCTCTGTCTGTCAAATAAATAAATAAATAAAATCTTAAAAAAAAAAAAAGGGTGATACTAACTGCCCACTAACTGCCAAGCTTTTACTGAGGGGGACTGTGCAAGTTGGGGGCAGAGCTGAATTTAGGGGGGCGTGGGATGAAGGGTGGAAGAAAACTGGTAAAGAGAGAAACACGATGCTCAGATAACGTGAGAAACGATGACTGGTAGGGGGCACTTCTGCTGCTTATAGATTCCTTCTCTCTTCCCAATGAAATCTTCAGCAAAGTGTATATTACTCACTGGGGTTTTTGTGCCAGTGGATGAAAAGGAGGGGGCTGGGAGCACAAAGAAGTTGCTGTAGCTGCACCAAAATCATATGTGGGGGACCAGAGCACCTGCATGTTGACAGCAAGCAGAGCAGACAGCCCTCTTAGCCCAAGAGCCCTTTTCCTTGGATGAGGTTGGACTAGGGTTCCACCTAGAAACACAGGAGAAGGTCCAAATGTTCCCCAGGACAAAGGTCTCACCACCACTTTTCTGGCCTAGGTTCCCCCAGCAGTCCAGATAGAGAGCTGGTGGAGGGTCCCTGGGGAGTTAGCAACTTTTCCATGACAGTCATCAGGCTCCTTATCTCAGTTCACTGGGGGACATCTTTGGTTATTGGTGAGCTGAATGCAGAAATGAATGAAAATGAGATGAACGTGCCTGGAGGGGGCAACTGGTATTTTAAAATGTGGGACTTTCCTTACCTCAAAGGGTCTATAGTAGGCTCCTTCAAGTATTAGGTTAGGCAGACCAAATATGCTGTGCCTTTTTGATTTGTTTTGTTTTGGGGTTTTGTTTGGGGGGTCTTTCTGCTGTAATGAGAATATAATCCCTTCTGGATAAAGAGAACAACCTGGTGATAATAGCTTCCAGACTGGAGTGCAGTAAGTGAAGAGCCAGTCCTTGTTAAGAAGTAGACGATCCAATGTTAGGGAAGTGGGTTGCTTGTGCCAATGAGCTGTGTTCAGCCATCAAGGACAGAACACATTTATCCCCTCCCCCACAGCCTCCTCCTCAGTCCATGCAAAACAAATTGGAGTGAAACAACACCATCTGCTCATTTCACACTCAGTGAAGAAGCACGTCAACTCCTTCTCAAGGTTAGGAAGTCCAAACTCAAAAAGACACTTCTAGTTATGCAGTAAAAATGCCTCCTGAAAGCAGGAATGCTGCAATCTTGGAAGAGTCCACTGTTTCCCCAAACACGACATGGAAAGGGCTGAGCTGATCAGGGCTAAGAAGCTGAGGGCTTTCTTACGGGAGTGTCACATGGAGCTTTACTTAATGGCAGAAAGTCCTGTTTCGCTGGTCAGTTGCATTTCCATAATTTGCAGCCTCTGATTTTAATGAGAATAGCAGTAGACAAGACCATCGTAATCACCCTGGTTCTAGCATCCTGTGGCGGGAGGAAGAGGAGGGAGTAGAAAGATAAGTCTTGCTCAATCAGAGATCCTATTTTGTTCTGATATTTCCCTTTGGTGTAGCAAATCCCCCCACCTTTTTTCCCCTTTTTTTCTGTAATCACTTAAAAAAAAATCTAAATCCCTAATTAAACTCTGTTATTCAACCCAGACATGATGCTTTGAATTAGAGAAGAAATTTACTCGTTTGATTCTACCCCTATTTCCTTTACTCAACTAAACTCTGTTCAGAAATAAAGATAAGGGAGGGTTCTTGGGTATACAAATGCTTTCAGAGATTAGAAGGAGGGCAGCCCTTCAGCTTTTGCAACAAATATTAAATTCCACACAGTTCTAACTGACCATCAGTAAATAATGTTTCTCCCAAGAGAACCCCTGGGACAGTAATGACTGGACTTGTCTTAGAGATCAGACACTCACAACACAAAGCCTGAAAGACTCAAGTCTCTCGTTACTTATAGCATGCCTCACTGGGATGTGTGTCGGCAATTTACGATCTCCTGGGAGAAACAGGAAATTAATATAAAAGGATCAATTGTGACATGCCAAGTACCAAATAAGTGTACATTATGTAAAATTATAGCTCTTTTTATTCATAAAGCTTTTGTACCAGACTTTTGAAATTTGGTGAACAAGACTGCTTCATCTTGATCTTCTCCTTGATCTTCAAGCTGGAGGAGCTGCATGCAGCCCTGGTCCTGGTGGTCCTCCTCATCGCCGAGGGCCTCTTCATGTTCACGTACAAGTCCACGCAATTCAACGTGGAGGGCTTTGCCTTGGTGCTGGGGGCCTCATTCATCGGTGGCATCCGCTGGACCCTCACCCAGATGCTCCTGCAGAAGGCGGAACTTGGGCTCCAGAACCCCATTGACACCATCTTCCACCTGCAGCCACTCATGTTTCTGGGGCTCTTCCCTCTCTTTGCCGTATTTGAAGGTCTCCATTTGTCCACATCGGAGAAGATCTTCCATTTCCAGGACACCGGGCTGCTCCTGCGGGTGCTGGGGAGCCTCTTCCTTGGAGGGATCCTCGCCTTTGGTCTGGGCTTCTCTGAGTTCCTACTGGTCTCCAGAACCTCCAGCCTCACTCTCTCCATTGCTGGCATTTTTAAGGAAGTCTGAACTCTGCTGCTGGCAGCCCACCTGCTGGGGGATCAGATCAGCCTCCTGAACTGGCTGGGCTTTGCACTCTGCCTCTCAGGCGTCTCCCTGCATGTGGCTCTCAAAGCCCTCCAAGCCAGAGGTGACGATGGCCCTAAACCCTTGAAGGGGCTGGGCTCCCACTCCGACCTGGAGCTGCTGCTCCGGAGCAGCCGGCCGGAGCAAGACGACAATGAGGAGGAGGGGGAGTACTTTGTGGCCCAAGGGCAGCAGTTATGAGCCAGGGGACTGGCGGGGAACCAGGCTGCTCCCAGGCCTCGCACCTCACTGCAGCCCGGGAGCAGGGGCCTGGGACTCTCCCAGGCTGGGCCTCGGGGAGCACGTGACCACGCAGCGGGGCTCCTGTAGGTCGCGGGTGCAACAGTGGGGGGAGCGTCAGGCCAGAGCAGGGCCCAGATGTGCCCCGCTGGCTAAGGGAACGGGCTGGTCTCCACGGCTTGCTGGGCGCTGACAGCCCAGGTGGTGATTTCCAGGGGCAGAGCGGGTTTCTAAGGGGCCGGGTTTAGACTGCAGAGCAGTTGGGAAGGGGAGATGCCAAGGCTTCAGCCTGGCATCTCCCCTCGGGTCTGGGGCGTGTCTTTTCTCAGTACAGGTCTATTTATAGCTTGGAAATAAAGGATTTACAGTCCACTGGAAAAAAATATAAATAATATAATATAAATAACCTGAATACAAATAATATAAATAACCTGAATTCATTCATCCATTCAACCATCTGTTGGTGTGTCCATCTGTCCAACAAACATTACCCTGGTGCCTACAGTGCCAGCCCTCCAGGTTACCAAGACAAATAAGGCATGGTCCCTGCCCTTGTTGGGGCGCAGACCTGCAAATCATAATACAGCAATAAGTGCAATCACACAAGTGTGTTCAAGGTGGAAGGTAACCAAAAAGGAGGAAACAGTTGGCTATATGAGGGCGGTCTTGTGGGGGCATGGGGTTCCAGGCAAGAAAAACTTCTCAGAAGAGTTGAAACATAAAAGAGGAATTGGAATTTACCAGGCATATTCTAATCAGAGAGCATAGCTTGAGCAAAGGCATGGAGGCACATGAAAGCCTGGAGTATCCAAGGAGCTAGAAGCCATGTAATATGGCCGCAGGGTTTTGTGTGGCTGTGACAGATGAGCCTGGAGAAGTAGACACAGGCTAGAAATAAGACAAACCCTACAGGTCATGTTCAGACATTTCCCTGTTGACAATGGGCTTCGCTGGTGGGATTTCAGAAGGACATGTATTTAGAATAAACTTTATGATGGCTAGATGGAAAATAGAAAGTGAGAACAGGACAAGAAACCCAAGAAAGGCAAGTTGTCACTGTGTTCACACCATGCTTTTTTAAGAGCTTTGTTCCTTTAAAAAAAAAATAGATTTTCTTTTTTAGAGCAGTTTTAGAGCAGTTTGCAGTGAAATTGAGGGGAGGGTCCATGGGTTCCCCACATACGCCCTGCCCCAGACATGCACAGCCTACCCTCTTACTGACACCCGCACCAGAGTGATACAGTTATTACACTCAACAAAGCTACACTGACTCAACAAAGCCCAGAGACCTTTTCTATCTAGACTGAGAAATGCCACTGTTAGTGAACCTAGTATTTTTTAATATCATGGATCTTGAGAAGCTGGTCTTATTTTTACCATGTCTGGTGTTTTTGCCACAAGCGTTTTCTCTGCAAACATTTTCACTGCATAACTAATTGGCCATAAGGCAATTCTGCCGTAAAAGATTAAAAAAAATAACTGGTTAACAGTTTGGTTTGACAGTTTGTTGGTTTCATCAACTGGTTGACAGTTGGGTTTCATGTCTTCATTGACATAGGACTCCCGTTTTTATAGACATACATCTGAGTCCTCATAACGGTCTGTAGGACAGTGCGGAGTTTTGAACCCGCATTTCCCATAGAACCCGGGAACGTCTGTCAGCAGACTTGTGACAATATGCCAAGAACAAACAACAACGTAGAAGGCTTTCACAACACAATGCAAGGCTCAGTTACAAATATGCATTCTAGAAGGATGAAATTTTAGTGAAAAAGGCAAAAGTGTAATGTTGAACGAGGAGACAAATCAACAAGCAAAAAAAAAAAGTGTGTAGTACTAAGAATGAAAGACTTTAAAGATATGTGCTTAGGTACCACTCATAAAATAAAATCGGCTATCTGTGCACTATTGCCATGACTCTAAACTACACATTTTAAATATATTCAAGTATTTAGTATTTCAACAATCAAGTCTTTTTAATTTTGCTCATTTTTATGATTCATTATGTCCCTTTGAATGAATGTCCTCTTTTTTTTTTTTAAAGATTTTATTTATTTATTTGACAGACAGAGATCACAAGGAGGCAGACAGGCAGGCAGAGAGAGAGGATGAAGCAGGCTCCCTGCTGAGCAGAGAGCCCGACACGGGGCTCGATCCCAGGACCCCAGGATCATGACCTGTGCCAAAGGCAGAGGCTTTAACCCACTGAGCCACCCAGGTGCCCCTCTTTTATTTTTTTATGATTTTATCTCTTATGGTAAAATTGCCTTGTAGCCAATTATTTATGTAGCAAAAATGTGACAAAAATGCTTGTGGCAAAGATGCTTATGGCAAACTTATGTAGAACCATGTTCACAGCATACTGAGGTTGAGCATGCTAACTGAGCTGGCTTGTGGCCACTCGGCCAGTCCAAAGGCTGAGGGAATCAGCAGCAGGACCCTGGTATCATGACCTGAGCCGGAGGCAGACACTTAACCAACTGAGCCACCCAGGCACCCTGATGACTTTCTATATTGATTAGACCCACAATATTGTTCATAGTTGAAGTATCTCTGGAAACTGGCACATGTAGACAGAGGGATTTTGGATACTCTATGAGAAACTAAGCTACTGAGTAGTAAAGCTAGGAACAAAAAAATGTCCAATTCTTTCAAGTTACAGCTGAAGTACCCTATTTGCCATGGTTACCCTTTCTTTCTCTTTATTTAGAATTTTTGTGTTGGCAAAAAAAAAGGATTATGCGATAATGTTATTTTTAAGTTGCTACTGGATCTATGAATAATTCATTTAAAGTAAAATCTCAATATCTTGTGAGCTTATTTTGGGGGCCCTAAACATTGATTAAAATATCAGCCTGTTTAACATAACAGCATGGCATGGTGCATGGCAATCTTTAGGAACACGTCTTCCCTCTCAGTGCTGTTAAATTCTGGTGGATTCCTTTTGCATTATATCCCATTGCATTTTATTACAAAAGTTTCTTCTTGCCATTAACTTTACAATCCAATTATCAAAGGAATTTTCTAACTTCTTGCCTTAATATTTGTTTCATTGGGATTAAGAGTTAAATGAACTGGTTTGTTTTTTTTTAAGATTTTATTTATTTGAGAGAGAGATCACAAGCAGGCAGAGAGGCAGGCAGAGAGAGAAGGGGAAGCAGACTCCCTGCTGAGCTGAAAGTCCAATGCAGGGTGATCTCAGGACCCTGAGACCATGACCTGAGCCGAAGGCAGAGGCTTAACCCACTGAGCCACCCAGGCGCCCAAATGTAATGTCTTTAAGGTAACTGTCAAGTTGACAGAAATCATAAATTTATTCGTCCTCACCTTATTTTTTGTCTTCAAAGCAACAGATCAAGCTAGGAGTAAGGAAGGAGTGTATGCTGTTGGTAACATTATACTTAGTTGTCCTGCTGAGACTGCCAATACAGTAGCCAAACAACCGTAATAATTTCTGGAAGGCATTTGTGACACTGACACTCGGCCCCGTTGCGAACTGCACCAAACCCCTGGAATCGTTGCATATGGGTCTGAAAGCTGCTGTCAGGCTATAAGAGCTCTTAATTGTTACTGACTTGTGCTAGATTTGCGTTCTACTTACAAACTTCTTTTTGGTGTGTCTGTTTGTGTTTGAATCAGGGCAGAGTACATTTGGACCCTTAAAATTCATTCCGTATTTCTTTTAATCAATACAAATCAAAAGCAGTCTCAGAAATGCCTCGTTGTCAATTACATCCAGCCACGTCAGAAGTAAATGTCATGTCTTCTGAGGGTTGCATTTTCTCAAGGAAGCAGTGTTCAGGCATATTTGTTACCTCAATTAGTCTGATTTAGTGGTTCAGTCAGTGAGCTAGTTACTCTGGCAGTCAGCAGAGTAATTCGATTTCTAAGCGGCTGGTAAGGGACTAAAAACCATCCGAAACGCTAACTCCATGTCCTGAAAGCAGATGTACAGATCCTGATGTTCTTGGTGGCACAGCTGTCAGGGAAATGTGTTGGTCCCTGATACGATCTCCATCCAGGGCTAGAGCCCCTTGATGTCACATGCCTGGATATTCTGTCAGGAGGTGACAGGAAGGGTGTTCCTTTTGGAAACCTAGTGCCCTGAAGGGATTCTTTTTCTTCTCCACTGTCTTTAGCTGGCAAAAGGTGGAGGCTGACAGCCCTGAAGATAGTACTGGAGGGTCTATTTTAGAAAGGGAGCATGTTATGTTCTAAGTCTATCAATCTCGTCTCTTTCCCCCTCACTCCAGAGGCCGTGAAACTAATCTTCTATTGCTTAGATAGGTGCTTTGGAGAAGGGGTCACATTGTGACTGAGACTCCTTAGGACCTCAACCCAGTGGCAGAAACGGTGGCCTGCATCATCTAGATAAGAGATGAGGAGCGTGGTTACCAAGATAATCTAACCCGATGTATTGTATTCTCCCCTCTCTTAATTCCCTGCCGAAGTGATCCGGCCAATGTAACATCAAAAATAATTATTTATCACCACTAGAACTTAGAATGCTATCTGGCCTGTGTTCCTGCCTCAAGAGTAAATCTCAGCTGTTTACAGAAACATATATTATATTCTAGGAATCTTTTGGTTGCAGGTGACAGAAAACCAATGCAAATTCCCCTGAGCTAAAGAGGAGGATTTATGGAATCAAGGCTGAAGCATTTCACCAAACCCAAGGTATAACTGAACAGCTATGGGTGCAGAGAGGCGGCTGGGTCTCAGGAACACTAGAAACTGAGGACTTGGGTGACATTCAAATACTGACTCATTCACTGCGGCTGGGATTCTGGGCGTGGCTTCATCCTCCTGTTGGTTGCTAGTTTTTTCTACGGGTGGGAAAACAAGACCTTGTACACTTTCTGGTTTGAACAGTTTAGACTTTAAACCACCAGAAAGAAGGGGCTCTCTCTCTCTCCGCACATTCTCCAAGTCGAAAAGTCTTCCAGGCTCAGCTTGCAGCCGGCCCGCCTGACCCAAAGGAGGGTGGCCGGAGTGATTAGGGTAGCGTGATTGGCCAATCTCAGGTCCGGTGTCCACACCAAGCCCAGTCAACTGTGGCCAGGAGGTGAGAGGGCCCGC